CACTTCTCTATGAAAAATTAATTCAGTTGCAAGATGTTTGTAGGTACATGAATTGCCTGTTTTAAAACCAAGGCTTTTGACTCCATAACCCTCCATTTCTTCTTTTTGCGTCTTTCCTTGGTAGATTTGCTAGTGGTCTTTGGATCATTATCAAATTGAAAGAACCATTTGTGGTTCATCTTCAACGTTTGGACAGATGGTCGCATATTTTCATTCAGCACTCAAATGATGCAGAATGTTTAGTAGACTCGACAACTGAGAGCTGCCCAGGTCCTGAAGAAGCAAAGCAGGTCCAGGTTATAACATTTCCACCATCATACTTCACAGTTGTTATGATGTTTTCTCCTGAAATACTGTCTTTGGTTTGTGGCAAACACAAATAGTGTTAGAGCTCATTGGACTTGTAGTTGATCTCCCTTGTAGGTTTGGCAGGCACTACCACTGCAGAATATGACCTATTGAAGCTATTACCCCCTGCATGCTGAACATGCAACAGCAGAGAGATGACGGGGCATCCCTGCAGTGAAGATTTCTTCAGAATCCAGCTGCTTGCACAACGTGTGACATCCTTCATTACAAGTAAGTAACATGACTAAAGCTGTAGGGCTGAAAATTTTTTTTTTAGCTAACCTTCAGCTTTAAAATGTCTATATGCTGTCATTATATGTATACTGTATTTATGCCATAGAGGAAATTCATAAAATTGCAGTGTATTTTGATGTTGTGCTACCTTTAAAGAATCTCATTACTAATCTGGTGGCAGTATGTCATTTTGAAATTTTTTGAAAAATTTGAGTGTAAACTCTGTTGATGATCTTCCCCATGCAGAAGGAGGACTGTGTACATTCCACTGCAGCAATACTGCAACTGAAGGTTTGCATACTTCATACTGATTATGCAGCCATGTGCAGGGGCATACTGTATATACCATATCCCTGGTTTGAAGAAGAGGGAAGTACAGATGGCTTCACAGAAAATGTTGCTACTCTAGAGTTTTCAAGACTTGGATATGCAATAACAAAACTACAAACTTCAGAAGATACCCAGGCACCAAGATGTCTGGCTGAACAGTAACAAAGTGATGACGCATGGTGAAAGGCAATCTAAGAAGGACTTAAAACCATTTAGAGGGCCAACTAAAGACATAGAAACCTCCTTCCAAATCTCTAAAAATGTATCAGCAAACACAAATGCTCCTGCACTTGGGGATGGACTCGATGCTACAACCACATTAAGAATGTACTGGAACATGCACAGCTTGCTGCCCTCAAATGGACCGGGGAAATCCAAATATACTGAATGAGGAAAGAAAAAACAGAGGGCGCACAGGCCTAGTGCATTACCATAAAAAATGTTTAATAAGAAATAAAGTAGGTGTTGTACTCACAAACGACAATATAGTCAAGGCACATCATAAAGAACAGTTGGGTCAACACCGCGCTGAGTAACAGTCCGCAATAGGGAGTGTAGACATCCAATAAGCTGACGCGTTTCGAGGACTTGCCTCTTCCTCAGAGCCACTAGTGCAGACTGTTACTCAGCGCGGTGTTGACCCAGCTGTTCTTCTATGGTGCCTTGACTATATTGTCGTTTGTGAGTACAACACCTACTTTATTTTTTATTAAACATTTTTTTATGGTAATGCACTAGGCCTGTGCGCCCTCTGTTTTTTCTTTCCTGTAAAAATGTATATTGCATCTTAAATGGGTCAGAATGAAAGACTATTGTTAGCTATTATGCATATGGTTCCCCTCCCCACCTGCCATAGCTTACATAGTCCGGTAAATGACGCTTGAACGTTTATGTGCATTTATGATTCTGATGGGGCTTTTCCTCTGCAGATATGCCCGTAAACACTCAAATGTGCATGGACACATAGACTAACATAGAGCTGCTTATACAGCCTAATGGAAAACACAGCAACGCCTGCATAAGCAGCATATTTTATTGACCCTTAACCTGGGTTCACATATTTGCGGTGCGGTATATCGCATGTGATTCACACAGGAACCGCACTGCATTCCTGTGCAAATCAAATGCGATTTGTGTGCGGTAAGATTGGAGCCATACATTTTGTATGGCTCTAATTGCACCGCACCTGCACCAAAAAGGTGCAGGACCCTTTTTTGGGTCAGCACTATAATTGGATTGCATGGGTATTCACACCTATACGATCCGATTCTGCACATCACACCGCATTTTGTGGCCCGCTTTCAGGGTGTTGTTAACTGAACATACACACCTGCAGCAGTTCTCATGAACGAGGTGCGATTCTGATGCGGTGCGGAATTTGCACAGAAAACGCTGCGAATTTCACACCGCATCAGAGTGAATCAGGGTTTAAGAGGGGCAAAACTATCCCCAGGTACTCCTGAAAATTTTCCAAATCTGTTGCTTTAGCCCGGGTTCACACTGATGCGAAGCGGAATTCTCAGCGTTTTCTGTGCGAATTCCGCACCGCATCAGAATCGCACCCCGTTCATGCGAATCGCTGCGAGTGTGTATGTTAAGTTAACAACAACCCGAAAGTTGTGGTCTGCAACACGTGTGACATGCAGAATCGGATCGTATAGGTGTGAATACCCATGCGATCTGATTCTAGTGCAGACCAAAAAAAGGTTTCTGCACCTTTTTGATGTGGGTGCAGTGCGATTAGAGCCATACAAAATGTATGGCTCCGATCTCACCGCACACAAATCGCACGTGATTTGCACAGGAATGCGATGCGGTTCCTGTGCGAATCACATGCAATATACAGCACAGATGTGAACCCAGGCTTAGATAGAATGCCACAAAGGACTAAAACAAACATTTTTGAAGGAATTAGATACTGTATATTGTTTGGTGAACTCAAAGAAATGGCTGCAACTATATGCTGATGTGGGAGAGTGACTAAAGAGTTCATACCCAGGCAGGGGCGGACTGACAACTCATGGGGCCCCCGGGCAATAGGGGATCATGGGGCCCCTGTGTCCTTGCCCAAACTCAAAAAAGCCTATGAAACAGGTACCAGGGGCATCTCATGGGGCCCCCTACTGACCCCAGGCCCTCGGGCAGTGTCCGAGTTTCCAAATGGTCAGTCCGCCTCTGTACCCAGGTGATATAATGACATACCAGCAGAGATCAGACCAGCTCCAAGAACACAGGACGCTGGCTGCCTAGGGAAAGGGAAGGCAAATAAAATCTAGCATTACTCTACACTTAAGGGCATATTTAAAAAGAAACCAGCAGAAATCATGTTTCATTATTCAAACTACTGTCATGTGCTGAAAGCTAAAATCTAATTTGCAGCATGGCTGGCTACACATCTTTACATATTTGTACTTTAGGCCTGGTTCACACCAATGCGTTTTTTAGTGCTTTTTGCAGAAACGCACTATAGTCCATTTAACATGGTTTCATATGGGACATGTTCACATCTATGCTTTTTTGAGTTGATGCGTTTTTGGAAAGGGTCAGGGACTTTTTTAAATGCAAAGAGCAGCATTTGTGCTACAATAGAGTTCAATGGAGAAGCTTCTGAAATCCATGTAGTGTATTTTTGCTGCATTTTTGTTGCATTTTTCCTGCGTTTTGCATTTTTATTCTGACCAGCAACAAAAAAGTTTCCCTTTTAACAAAAAAAGCTAAAAAACCTCCCACAAAATGCGGGAAAAATGCGCATGCGAAAGCGCAAAAAAGCACTGCAAAACAGACATAAAGCACAATACATTGGTGTTAACCAGGCCTTATAGAATGAAGACCTACTGTGTGTATTAGAGGTCTTCCCCTTATCTGTTCAGCAAACTCCTTCTAAATGTAGGAAGCAATGTTTCTTCCTGCAAATGAGGTGACCCTAAAATTGCCAGACTCGTTCTATCCAAATGATTTTAGAGCAATGGCATTCTCTCCATTTAAGGGCATCAATAATCACAGCAGAGAATTCTAAACGAGCCATAGCATGTTCAAAGATGAAAAGTTCTACCCAGTTTCATTAAACAATGGATATACATATAGAATGCAAGCAAGGTTTCCAAGGTAATTTTCTTTATTTTGCATGGCCAGTTTTAAATTTCCTCCATTAAATAATGAAAGTAAAAAAGTGTAATAATAATTCAAACAGGAAAAAAGCAATATATTTTTAATCTGATCCCTCTTGAAGCTCTCCCATTGGATTGTGTTTATGCAGTCTATGCTTTTTGGTTGGGAGAAAGAATATTTAAGAGCCTCGACTTCACGGGCTGACCTGTCTACAACTACTGCCTCCTTTGATTAGCTCCTGTGTCCTTTAAGCTGTCCATACACTATACAATCTCTATGTAATATTCATTAGATTTACCTAATCTTTATAGTATAAGGGCCAACTTTAACAGCCCATTCAGTCTGTATCCAATCATGCAAACCCCTGAATCATATGGTTTTTGGTATAGCTAAAAGAGATTGTACCATCAGAATATGTAGTGCATGGACAGCCTCAGAGAACTTGAGTAGAACTTGATCTGAACAAAACCGGTCACAATTCCAAACTGGTCGAATTCCAACCACAATATGGAGTTTGCATGTTTTCTCTGTGCTTTTACCACCAGGGTCATGGGTTCAAATCCTAACCCTTATATTACCTGTGTGGAATGTATATGTTCGCCAGGTGCTTATATCATTAGGGTCATCAGCAGGACTGGATCTAGCCTGTCTGATCTGGGGGTGCAGTAAAAAAAAGTCAGGGGGCATAATGACAGGGATGCATGAAACCAGTATTCCCTGTTCACTCGGCACACTTTTGTACCATGGAGTCATAACCTGGAAGTAACATCTTACAGGTAGTGCAGAGGTGGCACAGGAGTGAACTGGGAATGCTGTCATTAGTTTAGGGTAATTAACCAGAACCTGTGCCCCCTTATATCAGGTGTCCCTAACAAAGTCCCTCCTTATATCAGGAGTTCTTCTCAGAGTTTCTCCTTACATCAAAGTTCCTATAACAGTCTCTCTTTACATCAGGTGTCCTCACCAGAGTGCCCTTTACATCAACTGTCCCCATCAGAGTGCCCTCTTACATCAACTGTCCCCATCAGAGTGCCCCCTTACATCAACTGTCCCCATCAGAGTGCCCTCTTACATCAACTGTCCCCATCAGAGTGCCCTTTACATCAACTGTCCCCATAAGAGTGCCCCCTTACATTAATTGCCCCCCTCAGAGTGCCCTCTTACATCAACTGTCCCCATCAAAGTGCCCCCTTACATCAACTGTCCCCATCAGAGTGCCCTCTTACATCAACTGTCCCCATCAGAGTGCCCTTTACATCAACTGTCCCCATCAGAGTGCCCTCTTATATCAACTGTCCCCCTCAGAGTGCCCTCTTACATCAACTGTCCCCATCAGAGTGCCCTCTTACATCAACTGCCCCCCTTAAGAGTGCCCTCTTACATCAACTGTCCCCATCAGAGTGCCCTCTTACATCAACTGTCCCCATCAGATTGCCCCCTTACATCAATTGCCCCCTTCAGAGTGCCCTCTTATATCAACTGTCCCCATCAAGTCTCATGGATTTGTGAATTCACACTCTCAGAGGTTTGGGGGTGTACAGACAAAATCTGGGGGGGCATAGCCTACCCCAGCATCCCCCTGGATCTGGGCCTGGTCATCAGTTCAATTCCCAACCATGATGTTATCTGCAAATCTGCCTGTCATGGGATGCAACTGCTCAGGCGCCAAAAGATGGATAAGTTCTGGACATACGCTTGCCACAAATCAAATCCAGAGATGAGGCAATTTTGCTTATGGAGAAATTATTTCACATCCTAAATAACTCGAAAACTCACTTTGATGATAAATGGGGCCCTTCAGACAGACCATAAACATCTTTTTCTTTGAAACAATGGTCCCTTCTCCCTCTTACTGTAAGTGTCCCTGGGCCAGCTAATGCCGTTTGCTACTTCTCCCTTTGTCTTGCATAACTTTCTGGTTTCTAGACGATTTTAAGTTCTGTACCTAGAACTTTATTGACATTTTGTTGCTTTTATTGTATTATTATTGCCCAATGATACATACCATGTTTTTGTTTTGTCTATGCATACTGTATGCTTCATCATGAGTGTCAAGTTCCTGTACTTGTTCAACTTTTATATATTTTGTTACGGATCTCCTGATATCTTTGTTTTTTGTTTTTTTCTTGTAATCTTTAATAAAAAATAGTAACAAAAAATATGGATGTGTCCTGCAGGGAACAGTTTTAACCTCCTGTGGTCCACACTAGTATCTAAGACCTGACAATGATAGAATGAAAGTAATATTAATAAGATTTCAAATGACAGTTGTGTTTAGAAAAATGCTGTTTGTAAAGAGTGCGTAATGTGATAAACATAGTGACACAATTTTAAAAGGGAAGTGTGGGCTTTAGGAAATAAAAAAACATTTATTCCTCGCCTAGGTGAATGCAACTTTGATCTGATGCTGTATCTGTCTCCTGCTGGCTCTAAACAGAGAGCTGAGTGATCAAAGATGGCTGATCACTCAGTACCCCCCCCCCACTCTGAGCAGAGAGCCGTGACTGTCAGTCTCCAACTCTCTGTTCTGCCCCTCCAGTACTCACTGGTGGACTGGGCTGTGGAGGGATGGGAGGGGCTGGCTCACTGAGAAGCTGAGCCAGCTGCCAGTCCAGGCTTCTGGGCAGATCCCAACTACATGGTCAGAATTGTTTTAGAGCCTGGATTGGCTCTGTGATGTCAGCTGACAGTGGGCTAAAGCCTGCTGTCGGCTGAAAATGGGTCACAGCGGTGCTGAACTAACTGCACTCCAGTGATCCCTAAGTACAGCTAAAAAAGCTTTGCTATACTTCTCCTTTAATGAGTCCACAAAGCCTTAAAATACTACAGTATTCTAACGCAAGGGTATCCAAATTATATAAACCATGAGCCAGTTTACTATCCTTCAAATTTTAGGGGGGCCAGAATGTAGCCAGTGAGAGTAGAAGATGCCCCATCTTTGGTATTAGGGGGAGTAATAGTGCTCCATTGTTTATATCAATGGGAGGAATAGTGCCCCATCATTGGTGTCAGTGGGAGGAATAGTGCCCCATCATTGGTGTCAGTGGGAGAGAGCCCCATCAATAGGAATAGTGCCCATCATTGGTGTCAGTGGGAGGAATATCCCCATTGTGGTATCAGTGACAGGAACATTGCCCCATCATTGGTGTCAGTGAGAGGTATAGTGCCACATCATTGGGGTCAGCGGAAGGAATAGTTCCCTATCACTGACGTCAGTGGGATGAGCAGTGCCCCATCATTGGTGTCAGTGGAAGGAATAGTGCCCCATCACTGGTGTCAGTGGGACAAATGATGCCCCATTATTGGTGTCAGTGGGAGGAATAGAACCCCATCATTGGTATCAGTGGAAGGAATAGTTCCCCATCATTGGTATCAGTGGAAGGAATAGTGCCCCATCATTGGTATCAGTGGAAGGAATAGTGCCCCATCACTGGTATCAGTTGGGGGAATAGTGCCCGATAACTGGTGTAGGTGAGAGAAATAGCGCCCCATCATTGGTATCAGTGGGAGGAATAGTGCCCCATTACTGGTGTCAGTGGGAGGAATAGAACCCCATCATTGGTGTGAGTGGGGCAAAATAGTGTCCCATCATTAGTGTCAGTGTGAAGGATAGTGTGCATCATTGGTATTTAAAGGAGGCATGGTTTCCCATCATTGGTGTCAGTGGAAGGAATGTTTCCCTGTGCTTGCAGCACTAGGGTCATTGGATTGAATCCCAACCACGTTACCTGTATGTCGTTTGCATGTGCTTGTGCCACTAGGGACATCATTTCAGATCCCAACCATGAAATTAGCAGCATGGAGTTTGCATCTGCTCTCTATGATTATACCACAAGGATCATTGGTTCAAATCCCAACCATGACATTAACTGCATGGAGTTTGCATGTTCCCCTGTGCTTGCAGCACTAGGGTAATCAGACTGAATGCCAACCACATTACCTGTATGAAGTATGCATGTTCTCTCTGTTCTTGCACTACTATGGTCATTGGCTCAAATCCCAGCCATGGCATTATCAGCATGGATAATGCATGTTCTTCCTGTGCTTGTACCACTAGGGCTATGGGCTCAGGTACCAACCGTGACATTACCTGCATGGAGTTTGCATGTTTTTGTCTGTGCTTGCAACACTAGGGTCATCAGAATGAATCCCAACCACATTACCTGTATGACATTTGCATGTTCCCTTTGTGCTTGTACCACTAGGGATATTGGCTCAGGTACCAACCATGACATTACCTGCATAGAGTTTGCATGTTCCCCCTGTGCTTGTACCACTAGGGCTATTGGCTCAGGTACCAACCATGACATTACCTACATGGAGTTTGAATGTTCTGTCTGTGCTTGCAACACTAGGGTCATCGGATTGAATCCCAACCGCATTACCTGTAGGATGTATGCATGTTTCCTCTGTGCTTGTACCACTAGGGTCAATGGCTCAAATCCTGACCACAACATTACCTTAATGGAGCTTGCATGTTCTCTGTGTGCTTGCACCATTGTGGTCATTGGCTCAGATCCCAACCATGACATTACCTGCATGGAGTTTGCATGTTCTCCGTGTGCTTGCACCATTGTAGTCATTGGCTCAGATCCCAAACATGACATTACCTGCATGGAGTTTGCATGTTCTCCGTGTGCTTGCACCATTGTGGTCATTGGCTCAGATCCCAACCATGACATTACCTGCATGGCGTTTCCATGTTCCCCCTATGCTTGTACCACTAGGGTCATTGGTTCGAAGCCCAACCACAAGATTATTTGCATGGCATTTACATGTTATCCGTGTAATAGTGTTGGTTTTCCTGGGTACTCTGCTTTCCCCCTACACTCCAAAGACATGCTGGTAGGGGAAGTGGCTCCAGTCTAAAGCCTAGTACACATGATCAGAAAATCGGAGGAAAAATAGCGCTTTCTAAGCGATCGTATGATAATATGATCGTTAATACACAGCTTTCATCCGAAATTATTTGAAGGGACAAACATGAAAATGTTTCTCGTACAATACCAGATCATACGATTATTGTTTAATTAGGACAGTTTTCGTTCAAAAATACAATACAACACATTACATCACTTCTGAATTTTTATTCTGATGTACAAGAATTTTCGTAACTTTAGTAACCTCCTCACTAGCATGCACAAAAGAAAAAACGAATGATCATTCGTCCGATATTCTCATTGTGTGTATGGGGCTTAAAGTGTTACTAAACCCAGGACCCTGCATTCACTATATCTGGTCTCCCAGGACCCTTCATTCACTATATCTGGTCTCCCAGGACCCTGCATTCACTCTATCTGGTCTCCCAGAACACTTCATTCACTCTATCTGGTCTCCCAGGACCCTGCATTCACTATATCTGGTCTCCCAGGACCCTTCATTCACTATATCTGGTCTCCCAGGACCCTTCATTCACTCTATCTGGTCTCCCAGGACCCTGCATTCACTATATCTGGTCTCCCAGGACCCTGCATTCACTCTATCTGGTCTCCCAGGACCCTGCATTCACTATATCTGGTCTCCCAGGACCCTGCATTCACTCTATCTGGTCTCCCAGGACCCTTCATTCACTATATATCTGGTCTCCCAGGACCCTGCATTCACTCTATCTGGTCTCCCAGAACACTTCATTCACTCTATCTGGTCTCCCAGGACCCTGCAGTCACTCTATCTGGTCTCCGAGGACCCTGCATTCACTCTATCATGGTCTCCCAGGACCCTGCATTCACTCTATCTGGTCTCCCAGGACCCTTCATTCACTATATCTGGTCTCCCAGGACCTGCATTCACTCTACATGGTCTCCCAGGACCCTGCTTTCACTCTATCTGGTCTCCCAGGACCCTGCATTCACTATATTTGGTCTCCCAGGACCCTGCATTCACTATATCTGGTCTCTCAGGACCCTGCATTCACTCTATCTGGTTTCCCAGGACCCTGCATTCACTCTATCTGGTCTCCCAGGACCCTGCATTCACTCTATCTGGTCTCCCAGGATCCTTCATTCACTCTATCTGGTCTCCCAACACCCTGCATTCACTCTATCTGGTCTCCAGGACCCTGCATTCACTCTACCTGGTCTCCCAGGACCCTTCATTCACTATATCTGGTCTCCCCGGACCCTGCATTCACTCTATCTGGTCTCCCAGGACCCTTCATTCACTATATCTGGTCTCCCAGGACCCTGCATTCACTATATATGGTCACCCAGGACCCTGCATTCACTCTATCTGGTCTCCCAGGACCCTGCATTCACTCTATCTGGTCTCCCAGGACCCTGCATTCACTCTATCTGGTCTCCGAGGGACCCTTCATTTACTCTATCAGGTCTCCCAGGACCCTGCATTCACTCTATCTGGTCTCCAGGACCCTGCATTCACTATATCTGGTCTCCCAGGACCCTGCATTCACTCTACCTGGTCTCCCAGGACCCTGCATTCACTATATCCGGTCTCCCAGGACCCTTCATTCACTCTACCTGGTCTCCCAGGACCCTGCATTCACTCTATCCGGTCTCCCAGGACCCTTCATT